AGGTCGGAAGTTGGAGAGAGACAGATAGCTTGCTAGGTTGAGGAAGAGGTCCTTGGTGGGTTGAGTCCTGCACACTGCCTGCTCTGCCTGGGTGGATCTGAAAATAGACTGATTTACATTTTAGATATATGTGGGGAGGGACGGGTGAGGTTATCAGAGTAGCGTAGTAGCCTGGAATTCCACAAGTGCTGGTCCCCTTATTGTGCAATGCCCTTTTAGCTGGTTTGCCTCAGGGCGTCGGGTGGCCTTTGGTGGGTTTCTTCGGCTTTTAGCTGAAAATGAGTTTATTAATATTGAAACATATGTGGGAGGGGCGGGGAGTTTACAAAATGAAATGCATAACAGACTGAAATCCACGAGTGCTGGTCCCCTTCCTGTGCTATGCCCTTTAGCTGGTTTGCCTCGGAGCGTCGGGTGGCCTTTGGTGGGTTCGGTCGTATTATTCTTTCTGAAAGTATACTATGAGAAATTATGTTAGTTGAATTTTTTAGTCTGGTTGATTCGCCTGTGGTGGAGAAGGAGTGGAGGTGGTACAGGCTGAGGGGCAGGAATGCCTTTGAGAAGACATACAGTGAGGTCGGAAGAGTGAGTGAGAGGTAAAGTTGCCTCTGTTGTGGGTGCTGGTACTCGCTGGATCTGGTCACATCATGATGGGGGTGGCTCTCAGATCGCTTTCCCGGTTCTGGATATGAACTGCTTCACAAGTCGCTGGATCTTGTCGTCACAGCTCACACTGAGGCAGTTTTCAGTTTTCATAGGTTGGTTTGAGGCTCTGAAGTGCAGCACGAGCTCTTGTCTCTCTATTTCGTGGTGTTTACAGTTTAGTAAGAAGTGCTCCATGGAGTTGGGGGCCCTGCATTCCTCGCACACAGGAGTGCGGAATCGGTCTGGCCAACACCCTAGTCGCATCTTCCACAGTTTTCGGATGGCCGGAATTTTGGTCGGTTTAGTCACTTGATTCTTGAGACTGGGTTTGTTGAGTAGTTTGTAGGCAGCTCTGCCTTTGTCGCTGGTCGACCACTGTTGGGACCATTCTCTGCATATTCTGCTTTTGATAATCGCTTTTAGTTCAGTTTTGCCCAGTCCCGCGAATATTGTGTTGTGGCTAACCGTGCCTCTCTTCGCCGCTCTGTCTGCTGCTTCATTGCCCTCAATGCCTATGTGTGCTGGGATCCAACCAATGGTGGTTTGGCATCCCAGGCTTCTGAGTCGGGTGGAAATTGTCAGGATTTCCTCTTTGATGTCTTGCCGGCTCACTTTCGAAAAGTCCCCTCAGGGCTTGTACTGCTGATAGTGAGTCAGAAAGGACGAGGAGTTTATGGGGGGCCGTTCGCAGGCTAGCTCCAGTGCTTTCAGAATCCCTACCAGCTCAGCTGAGCAGACTGCCATATCGTTAGTGAGTCGGTATTCGTGTGTGGTCTTCCAGGTCGGTATGTAAACACCGGCCCCGACTTCTCCCGTGCTGGTTTTTGAGCCGTCGGTGTAAATAATCATAGTGTCAATTTCTGCGTCACGGATGTACTGTTCGACTCTCGACCTTGCATCGAGTATGTCATGGTTTCTGTCTATCACGTGGGCGAGGCTTTCGTCGGTGAACGGTGTCTTAAGCTCCCAGGTGGGGATGGTCGGGTGGTATTTCTTACCGCTGGTTATGGTGGTGGTGTCAATTTCGGATGCCGTTTTCCAGGCGGCCGGTCTCTGGAATGTTTTGCATTGGGACGCTGACCTTTGACCAGGGGTATTCGTTGACAGCCAGTGCCTGGATGGCAGGGTGGCGTGGGTCAAGAGCCGCTTGGGACCAGTTAGCCGTGTCTAAGTTGTTTTTCTGCGTATTTTAGCGGTTATGACCAAGGCTACTTCCATGGCTTCTTGACTAGTTCCTTTCCCTGCCCCCAGGATGATTGCCATCGCCCTGGTTCTGGATTGTGTCTAGTGTCTCTTTTTTGGCATCAGAAAGCCAGCATCGTATACGATGGAACCGTATCAATTTTGCTTCGGATGAATGCTTTGTAAAAATTAGTAGTGTCCTTTGTGTGTGCGCCCCCAGCCGGATCCTTTGATGATTCGTAGCAGGTTGTTATTGCTCTTGCATCTTGCGACAGTTTGTTCGATGTGTCGACCCCAGCTCATTTGGGAGTCGAGCAGCATTCCCAGAAATGTCGTTTGTATCTTTCTCTGTATTCTTTGACCGTCTATTTCTATGCGGGTGTCAAAGTCTTCGTACGTTCGTACTCTTTTCCAGTTGAAAATCATCTGGGTGGTCTTGGTTGGGATAGAAGGGATATATAAACGCCTTTGGATATATCCTGCCTTGTACATCTTTCTGTGATATCATGCTTGTATTGTTTCGTTGCTAACGATTCCAATCTTGTAATAACCGTAGTTGATGTAAAAGTTGGCCGACTTCCGCCGGTTAATGTCTGCAAGAAGATAAGTGAATTCTGCTAGCAATGTATGCCTGCTAAATAACGGTTGGTACCTGCCCTCTCGGCTTAGATGTTTGCTGATGTTATAGTTAAAGGAAATAACATAAAAGCTAGTAAGCAGTACACTATGTTATACGTAAAGATTTGAATTACATGAGAAAATGAAGAACGGATGAAAATATTCATTTCTGAATAAAATAAATGCAACTAACGGCCAACTAATCTCATTTTCATTTTGACGTTTCACATATTCTGTTACTGTTAGTACTGTTACTGATGTTATTTCTACTGAATGTTTAAAAGTAGTGGTAGTCCGTGACCTTCTTACCTTCTCAGAGCGGTACCTGACATTCGTTACACATAGGAGCTTCTTAATTATAACTTAGCCGCCGCGGTGTAGCGCCTAGACCTCGCCTGCGCATCTAGACCTTGCCTGCGCATCGGAAGGTCGCGAGTTCAGGTCCTTAGGGAACCTTTTTTTTTTTTTTAAATGACCTTGTCTCCCAGGTCAACCCAGTATAGAACTACGTTCATTCCTTGGAAGTAAAGGTGACCGGTGCGATGTTGATTTCATCATTCACCTATTGCTGATTGGTCTATAAAAAAATCTAGATCTGTATGCCCGAAGGCATGGGGAAAGATCCTTTAAAACAAAATAGTTTATTGTCAGGGTAAACCGACTGTCGGCTTTCCTCCGAATAACGGTCACATATTATGGCGGCCAAAAACATACCCTAACAGGGCCTCAGTCACATGTCAATTGCGGACTTCCGTCGACTAACACCACCGCCGAGAGTATCTCCCATGCCGCTACGTGCGGCGTGGAGCAGTGCTAAGCTAGATGGCTGGGACTCGCAAGCAAATAAAATGAAGGAAGCTGCAGGAGATGAGTCGTGAGTCCCAGTCATCTAGTTTACCCCTGCTCCACGCTGCACGTAGCGGCATGGGAGATACTATCGCCGGTGGCGGTAGTCGCCAGAAGTCTGCAGTTTAAGTTGCCGGAAGTCCGCAATTGACATGTGACTGAGACCCTGTAAGGGTGTGTTTTTAGCCTCCATAATATGTGCCCGTTATTCGGAGGATAGCCCATCTGTCTGATATTTGTCCTAATGGATTGGCACTCTGGATGCATCTCTTTGTCGCAGGGGTATTAAACCTTCAAATAACAGACAGGAGGGGGAAAACGGCTGTTTTCTTTGAGTATTAACTCCTTCAGTCCCAGGGGGTTTAGCATCAAAGACCCAAGGAATAGTCAAGAGAGATGTTAAATCAATACATCTTACGTTCATTGAGTTTCTAAGTAGGCACCTATGAACATATGATGCCTTCCATGGGACCGAAAGAGTTAACCACACAGGATATTAACCACACAGGATAAAGGAAGCAATAAAGATTGACTGAAATTGATCTGTAACACTTTCTCTTGTCTTGATTTACAGTCTTCCCGTGTAAGTTCCAAGGCTCTTATGGGAAAGTCCAGAAGCAGACCCACAGCATCCCCAACAAGCATATCATCCAACAAGCATATCATCCAACAAGCATATCATCCAACAAGCATATCATCCAACAAGCATATCATCCAACAAGCATATCATCCAACAAGCATATCATCCAACAAGCATATCATCCAACAAGCATATCATCCAACAAGCATATCATCCAACAAGCATATCATCCAACAAGCATATCATCCAACAAGCATATCATCCAACAAGCATATCATCCAACAAGCATATCATCCAACAAGCATATCATCCAACAAGCATATCATCCAACAAGCATATCATCCAACAAGCATATCATCCAACAAGCATATCATCCAACAAGCATATCATCCAACAAGCATATCATCCAACAAGCATATCATCCAACAAGCATATCATCCAACAAGCATATCATCCAACAAGCATATCATCCAACAAGCATATCATAGGAGTCGACTAACTGGTGGCTTCTTTCAAAGTCAGAGTGGCAAGGAACCAACAGTTTGCATACAAATAAGTCAGATCTGCGAAACAGATGTGCATTCAACATTTATGTTCTGGAACAAGAGTAAAGTCCAAAGTGGATGAACAACCAGAACTTTCCACCAGAGTTATAGCCGATGAATGCTAAGAAAGAAGAGGAGGAAAGATTCCATGTATCACATCCTCAGAACAGGACACAGTCGAATGCGCAACCACATGTACATAGAATTCAAGATAGGTGTATCAGCCATTTGCACATGGGAAAAGTTGCCCCAGGCAGCAGAACATGTACTCAGGACTGCACCAAATATGACATATTTGGACAACAGTGGAACGTACACTCTACGGACTCCTTAATGAACTAAAAACGATAGTGAAATTTGTACGAGAGACAAAATTGCTGATATAGACAACTTATTTCAAGCCAGTGAAAAAAAAGAAGAAGTGTATCAAATGTAATTAACAAGATAATTATTTAATACATTGCTATGATTATGTTTCAGACTTTTTACGCAACCCAGTGATGTTTGCCATAGTTATATGAAGTACACAATGATGCGACCGTGAATATCATATTTAGTTCTAACTACCATATCTTCTAGCAAACATGTCCATCTACATCGCTGTTCACTTCCTGATAGACCAGATCTACAACAGCCCAAATATATCCATTGTTGTCACTGTCAGTTCCCTCCTGCTGTGGTTGTCTATTCGACGTCCTTATGATATCCCTCCAAACCCTTGGTTTATATTTCCAATCATCGGGCACAGACCACTTCTGCGTGGAGATTCTATCCAGTGTCTGCGCCGGCTGCGGAAGGATCTTGGGGAGGTGTTCAGTGTGTACATCGATGCTCAGCTGGTGATTGTGGTCAATGGTCTGGCTGCAATTAAAGAAGCGTTTATGACAAGAGGGGAGGAGTTTCACTGGAGGCCCAACACCAGAATTTGTGATCTCTTTCACTTTGGTAAGCTACTTGTTAAAATGCGAACTCTCATTCATTGGTAGGCCGCATGTTTAAAATGTGATCACTTCTACTTTTGTGTGTTGTTTGCTTAAAATTTCAATCCTTTCACTTTTGTGTTGCTTGTTTAAAATGCAAATGTACCATTCAGTTAAGCTGCTGATTTAAAATGTGATGTTTTTCACTTTGGTAAGTTGCTTGTTTCAAATGTGATCCCTTAAAACATTGTGAGCTTGTAACTCTATTTCTTCTTCTTCTCTCCCTCTTCCTCCTTTTCTTCTTCTTCTTCTTTGTCTCCCCCCCCCCTCCATTTTTTTCTATCTTCAGCTATAAAAGATTTTTTAGCACATTGTTAGTGTGGTTTTAGCTATGCTGTGATTAGCAATAATTTAACAATAATTTGAGGGCAGTGAGTCCACATCACTCGCCAGAATGATAGACTTGGGAGCTAGGATCGGCTTAGCAAGAAACAAGAAGCACACCAGGTATATCAGAGGACTTGTTAATTATCACGTATGCATTCTTAGTGATGAATATACTTTAAAAAATCTGAGCTGGATTTATCAGGCAAGAATGGATTGCAACACTAAGCACTTCATGAATAGCTGCTCTAACCTTCATCTTTTTGCCAGGTCATGCGGGTGTCCAAGGGTACGAGCGTGCAGACTATATTGCTGACACTGCAGTTGCTATGGCTGGTCAAGTACTAGACAGAATTGATGTTATCAATGTCATGTGCTGCACTTACCGTACCGAGGAGCACGCCAAAGGACATGACTCTGTATCCCTGTCTAGACTGATGGACATGGGAGTGCAGCCTGGAGCTGCAAGAAATGAATATTTCACTAAGGGGACAAGACATTTCATTAACCAACACAGAATAGGCGTCATCAGTCATTTTACACTTGTGGAGCTTTTGAGGAGGAGATCGGAACACCTATGAATCTGTCCAGAGTGCTGTGATAATAATCCTTTCTAATCACTTATCACTTGTTAATTAACATAGAACTGGTACTATTAGCCATTGGATGCTGAGGAAAGAATCTGAGCACCTGTGGACATGTCTAGTAACTCAAGAGTATAAACCAGAAGGGTTCCGACAACCGCACTATCCAGTCGCTCACTTGTGTTCTCATGGTTGCTACGCATGGCTGATTTATTATGACATTTCCAACTATCTCACACAGTGATTCTCTCTGCCATTACCTTTCAGATCATACATCTAGATGAGGCTAACATCTTGTACCTTGTATCTGCACACAGGCAAAATTTCCAGTCAGTAGACATTAATTTCTACTCTCGAACAATTACACGTGGTCAGACGGTCTGCATTCTTCTCAGCTGTTCTATCGCATTCGATCGCACACATTCAGGTCACAAACTTCAACTGCATCCTATCCTCTCTGGGTCCACACCTTCCGTTCAAGTCTTACTCTTTCCTTGTATCCCTATTCATTCACCCTGGGATACTCGAGACATGCTTTCCACACTTTCATCTTGTTTCACTGGTCCTCTGACCTTATCCCCCCAATCGGGAACTCTCTGGGATTTCTCGGGGAATTCACACCATAACAAATTATGATAATCCAACTTACTAGCTAATTAATAATTTCACATTGCAGGTGTTATCTGTAACTCAGGCAGGGAGTGGAGGGAACAGCGCAGGGTCACAGAGTTGGGTCTACAACATGTCAGCCCTGGTGTCCCGGTGTTTGTGCGCAGAGAGGCTGCACATCTGACCTCTGCTTTGCAAGAGGAAGAGGGAAAGCCAATGGATCCTAAGGCAAGTTGTAGTCATGACAAGTGTTTGTTTATGATAACATTGTTTTGTCAAAGTTTCCTAGATTTGTGGTGTGTTTCTCACAAAATGGAGCTGTGAGCTTCTTTACTTATTCTGTGAGCCTCTTAAATTAACTTTATGTATCTTCTTCTTTGGTTTCTTCATGTTCACTGGCTGTAAACTCGGGTGGAAAGTTCTTATTGTCTGTGCACTTCTAGACTTTAGTCTTGTTCCAGAATTTTAGTTTTGCATGCACATCCGCTTTACAGATCTGTCATGTTTGTGTGCCAAATATTTGTTCCTCGCCTCTCGGGCAGATGCACTCCAACATTGAAAGTAGCTCCCATTTAGTTGACTCTTACGATATGCTTTTGGTGGACCTATTCTTGTTTTCCCCGCAATGGAGCTCTGGAACTCACACAGGTAAACTGCAGTTGATGCGGTGGAATGTTTGTATTGGCATTTCTTTAGCTGCCTTATGCATTTATTGTGTGTGTATGCTATAGATTTTTGCCAAGGTTGTGGTCTGTTTTCATGTTTCTTCAGGGAACAGTAATAGATTTTCTGTTTGGTTTTCACTGGCTCAGGAATGTATAAGGGGACCTGTGCACTCCAATTTTAAACAAAACACCCCTAAGAAATTTTACTTTTACTACATGCTTATATGGTTTGGAGGGGGTGGGAGCAGTGAGTACATTCTTTCTCTCCCACATTGCGGTCCTTAAACCTACATGGGGGGAAATAATCTTGCTTTAGATATGTATGTATAAAAACCAAGATTATTTCCCTTTGTGGGTTCTGGGGCCGTCAGTTTTGGTTGAAAAAAAAAATATAGACCCTTTGCCTTCCTAATAAGCATGACATAAATGGAGATTGATTAGAAGTTTCTGGAACGCAGGTGTATGTGGTTGAAAGGCTCAAATATTGCAGCCTTGCTGTAAACATGCCAGCTGCCCTTTTAAGGGCAATCACAGAAGAAGAAATGAATGAAGTCAGGGTATTATCCTGTGATTCAGGATTTTATAAACCACTCGGCACTGGTTGGGTGATGATGTCAGCATCACAATAGCCGCTTCCAGCTTGGAAGCCAAGGTCATTTGAAAAAAAAAAAAACAGTCTGGTTCCATCAGGACTCGAACCCATGACCTTCCAATCTTGCATGAAGCGTCTAGCCACAACATTACGGCGGCCTTCCCCTGACTGTTTTATAATCTGTAAGTGCTGTCTTATCACATAATCAAATACAATAATCTGTACATGCTTTCATATCGCACATAGCACACATGACTTGTCTAATTATCTGTCTGTATACAGTTGTGTGATTCTTAGTCATCAGTATCAGTAAATAACTGATCGTTCTGTCTTGTGTGATTACCCTCCACAGATGATTCTCCATGCTGCTGTTTTCAATTCCCTGACCTCGTTCATCTTTTCCCGGCGCCTGGACTACAAAGACACTCTCCTGGAGAAGGTTTTCACCAGGTTCAAGGAGAACCTAGAGCTGTTCTCTGACAGCAAGTTCCCCAACTTCTTCCCATTCCAGAAATTCCTTATGGGGGATTTCTTTGACGTGAAGTTCCTGAGGATCAACATGACCGAAATCCATCAGAAGGTGATTAATCCTGTCTTTGAGGAGCACAGGGAGGAGTACAGTGACGAGCAGGTCGTGGACTTCTTGGATGTGTACCTGCGGGAGATCAAGGCTAATAAGAATGTCAAGGGCACTACAGTCGAAGGTCAGGGCATAAATGTTTGTGTTTATCTCTTTGTAAGTTTCAGGGGTTCCAGTTTGTGTTTTTTGAAAGGGGGAGGGGGGAGGACAGAATATACTGGCCCTTAACAAGCAATTGCTGGGCAGGGTTTGCTGAAATTGGATGTCTTTGAGTCAATCAAAGCATAGCTGTAAGTCACAATATAACATGCCAGCCAAACTTTTAAAGAGCACAGTAGTAGTAGTAGTATGTTATGTAATGACTGACTACTTCCATCAAAGACAAAGTGCATTTCTGGTGGCGACTGTTGGCTTTGGCGCCTCTAGCAACTTCCCAATGCATTTACTGCAGGCACATATTTCTGGATTATGCCAGAACTAGTTCTTTGTTTACCATTTTTTTTAAATGGGACTGAGAAACATTTCATTTGGTTTGCACTGACACAGAAACAGAGCAAGTATGGGGTGACCTGATTGCAATGAAGTTGAAAACTTGAATACGATTATGACATAGACAATATCTTTAGAAGCAGATTTGTTGTTTTCGTTGTTGTTGTTTTTTTTTTTTTCTTTTCTATTATTGCTGTTGTTACACCTTTCCAGACAATAGTATTATATTGTGCTCTGTGGGAGCATGGGAATCACACACAGTACATGGCAATGGCCAGTATGACTAACAAGACACACGGGTGTTTAAAAATAAGAAAAGTCTTCCACAATGAAAACATGAGATTTTTGGTGTTTCTTCTTTTTGCCTGGTGCATTAGCTTTGACAGTGTGTTATATAAGTGACATATTGTCATACAACAGAGAAGAGTTGCCAGGCAGTTCTCTACGACCTCCTGTGGCATGGTACAACAGTCACTGCAGCCACACTGTACTGGGCTGTGGTATTTATACTTCGACACCCTAAGGTGGCAGACAAGGCCAGGGAGGAACTAGCTGGTGTTTTTGCTAAACCAGGTCAGATTTGTTGTCTGTTTTTTGCTGGTTTTTGTATGACAGGGTTATTGATATTGACTATGAAACGTGTGACATGATTTAGATTGGTTGGCGGGGGGTGGGGGGGGGGGGGGGGGGTGTGTGCGTGTGCATGCATACCTACATGTGTATGTTTATACGACACATATGAATTATTTTTGATTGTCTGTTGTTAATTTTTTCCTTGAAACATGTAACATCATTCTGATTGGTTGTTTTTGTGTGTGTGCATGCATGTGTGTAGTGGTGGGGGGAGGGGGTGTTCTCATGAGACATGTATCATGATTCTGATTGGTTGAGGTTTTCTCTTTTGTTCCCTTGAGACATGTAACATATTCCCCCCCCCCCCCCCCCCCCTGCCTTTCCCCCCAATTTCCTTTGTTGTGGTGGTGTTTGTTGATTAAGGCTGCTGCCAGAACATCCAGTTGTTCCTTTCTCTCTCTCTCACTTTCTCTCTCTCTCTCTCCTCTCTCTCTCTCTCTCTCTCTCTCTCTCTCTCTCTCTCTCTCTCTCTCTCTCTCTATCTTTCTCTCTCTCTCTTTCTCTATCTTTTTCTGTTTTTATGTGTCTCCCCACCATTTTTGTCATTAACCTTAGTAGTGGATTAATTTTACCTCGCAAGTTGTTTTCAATCGGCCCTATGTGGGATGCAATTTTTTGTTTGAAGACCCACCCTGAATATAGCTGGTCATAGATATGGCCTAACGGCTGAAAGGGGTTTCTGGGACCTCTCCACATGTGATCCTCATCCGCATGGTTGTACTGTGTGTCACCACGTGTTTCTCGCTTGTGTGATGCCCTGCCTGGTGGGGTACAACTACCTACCTACCTGGCAAGTGCCCATGTCATCCTTATGTAGCAGATCCTTTGCTGAACATCACTGTCATCTGCCTAAAAGAAACCTGGTCTCTTGCCACCTCTCCTACCTTGTACTTTTACATTTAGGGAGTCACTTATATCATGTGCCCAAATTCGTGTTAGTCAGCCCCTGACCCTCATTCCTGGTACAGTGCTTACTTTTAATTTTTTCTTTTTCTCAATCTGCCATGGCGCTTGATATGGTCAAAATATATCAGCTTCCGAGACAAGATGATGTTTATCAGCCAGTCTTTCTTGATTTTCAGATTATTTATAGCATTTGAGCTTTTAAACCTCGTTTTGTTTTTCCTGAAAGACTGGAAGGTAGTCTATGACTCACATTACTTATGTTGCTACAGGGAAGATCTTGTTATTAAAATTGTAACTTTGAAGTGCCTGCTTAGACATACAATATGATTATAACATAATATCTCTAATCTGTGAGGCTGACATGGGACGGGAGGCTGACATGGGACGGGAGGCTGACATGGGACGGGAGGCTGACATGGGACGGGAGGCTGACATGGGACGGGAGGCTGACATGGGACGGGAGGCTGACATGGGAGACGGGAGGCTGACATGGGACGGGAGGCTGACATGGGACGGGAGGCTGACATGGGACGGGAGGCTGTGACTCTTGTAAATGTCTGTGGTATAAGTCTGGTTTTGAAAGACATTATGCTGCTCTTGCAGATGCTGCTGATGGCCAGCCGGGAGTGGAGGGAAGCAAAGCCGCCACAGATTATCCTGCATACTTCAAGGCTTTTGTTCATGAGGTGCAGCGTTGTGCCAACATCAGTCCTCTGTCCATGGCCCATGCTGTAGCCAAGGAAAAGTTTCTCAAAGGCTATAGGTAAGTCCTGATTTTCTGCTACCCCCTCCGTGTGTTCATGTTTTTTTTTTCCCTTTTTTCTAGGTTTTACCCCCTCTTTCTCTGCCCCTTTCTGCTCTATCACCATGTGATTCAGCATACTACAATAGTTGGTGAGTATTTAAGAAAAAACCTTAGTCTCATTCTCCATGCCAGTGAATTTTGGATGAGAATGTCACAGGCCATAGTGTAGTAAAAGGTAAAGGTAAAGTCGGGAGATGTGAACCAGCGTCATTGCACACGGTAATAAACCATAAGTGCTCTGTCACCAGTACGGACAGCTGATAAGAAACTGTCTGCTTGTTTCGCCGTCCGCACATAACTTAGTAGCTACAGCGACGTTCCTTCATTTACCTCATAGTGTCAGCTCTGGTACCTATTTCCCAGAGGCTGAGTGAACTCTGGGAACCGCCCGGTTTTGAACACCGACCTTGGCTGCAGCAAGTCGCAACTGGATTTGAAAGCGAGCCTCCTATTGACTGTGCTAACGCATCTCCCCCTTAGTGTAGTGTATTGTGCAGGTGCATCTCCTCCACCGATCCTTGCCACTTATTTTCCACCAGATTGCCAACTGGCCAGACCTGTGATCTCTCTGCTGCATGTAGGAGCAAGCATGGCAATAGCACATGTTCAGTATTTGCTGGTCCCTCTCCACATGGGCAAAGTTCTAGAGCCAAATAGAAGAATACTTTTTTTTTGCACCTCTGTATTCTAAAACTGATGAGAATTGAAATGGGTTGAAGCACATTGGAAGTGAAAATACCATAAGTGAAATGACAATGGATAGCTTTTTCTTCTTTCATTCGCTTGAAATAAATTATCTATATCTGTAATGTCGGCTCTGTGGCTAAGTCGATGCGAACGCTTCGCTTCGAAATGCCGGGATGCCGGGTTCGATCCCAGTTGCGGGCAATGCGCCTTGCGTTGGTTTCGACAGTGGTATCAAGAAAGCCGACCGTCCAGAAAGCAATGGCAAACTACTGGACGTAAATTTACCAAGAGAAACCACACAACAGCCATGGGCTGTTGGGGTTGGTTCTGCAACGTCCTGTAAAGGATACGCATCTAGCTTAGAACTTATATCTGTAATGCTGTTTCTAGTATGAACTTCAGCAGTGGATATGACTCAGCGTTTCTTTGGTAGAAGGGGAACTAAATAGGCTCACAATATACCTCAACATTCTTATAGTGGAAAAAACTAAATGAGAACATGACATGCCTCAGCATTCTATTGGTAAAGATTGATTAATATAAACTTCTGTAACCTGTGGTGCCAATTTCAGTGGTCTTAGACAAATTCTGTCTGTATTCCACTGTTGTAGATTTCAAGCTGAACAATAGACGTGGCCAATGAAGACATCTTTTTTTTTTAGAGGTGCCTGGTTGGTCATGTATCTTAGTAAACTTGTTTTCATAGCGAGGCGCACACACCATTTGGAGGTGACAGCATGATCATTATTTTCCACTTCTGCCATTAAGCGTTGTGGGGAGGAACAGTTTGTGATCCATTGCTTGATGGGCAGCAATGGTTATTGTCTGGAATATTTATACTGATAACAGAAATTTAAAATGTAATAGCTGTCAGTCTGCAAGAAAGATGTAAACCTGTGTGAATGTAGTATTGCCAAGGGTGGTTTGTGTTGTCAACTGCAGATACAGGATATGGCACGTAGCATGTTACCACAGAACTGGTGGAGCTTTATGCCATATTGCCTGTGCAAATACTAAATTATTGTCTGCTGCTTCCATCAACGATGAACTGTAATTCTGGTGGTGGCCTGTGTTGGCACTTCTGACGGCTACCTGAAGCGTGTACTGTGTGTTTATGCTATTGGCTTTGCAGAGATGGGAGTTTGTTTAAATTTTTCAAGCGACTGTGATGCATTCTGTGTTGTGCAATTATAGGTTAACCCATTTGCTGTGAAGTTGAAGCTATGATTAACTAATTAACTAAATGTTATAAGTTAATTACATACAAGAAGATGGAACACCACTACAGTCATAGTTAGACCCTCCAAAAACATTAAATAATGTGTGTACTTTGAATGTTGCAAATGTAGAATACCCGGAGATGCCGTAATCTTACCCAGCCTCGATTCCCTGATGATGGATGAGGATGTCTGGGGCGACCCCAGAGTCTTCCGACCGGAGAGGTTCATTAACCCAGAAGGAAAGCTGTCTGTTCCACCAGAGTTCATCCCCTTTTTCATAGGTAAGCTTTGATATTGGGGTTTCTGTTGCTAAACTTACTGTATTTGTATCTGTTGTTATTGATGTTTGATATAGACACATTTCTACTTTTCCAGCATCTAAACAGCATTGATGCCTGTGAAATGGTTGCAGTATCATCTAAATGAAGATTTTTATCTTACAAAAACATTTGAAATGATTCTGGAAAACATAGTAGCATTCAGATTACAGGAGTACCTGTAACAAAATTGACTTCTGCCAAGAGGTTCAGGGAATTATCAAGAAAAGTAATTTGGGAAAAATTGTATGATCCTAGCTCATAATGTTTATGAGAGATTTTAGAGTAAGCATTACACTGTGGTGCCAGCAATGGATCTAGAAGATGCATGTAAAAGGGATAGATATGACATTTTTCTGTACACGCATTAGGTTATGGAGCTCAGGCCCTGGATCCTCGGCTGGATTGCAGCAGTCCTGTATGAACGGTCATTCATCTGGGCTTATTGAATTCTGAACCATGTAGTATTGTACCTGTCCTCTCACAAGGATCCACTTCCTCTCCCCCCCCCTCCTCCATCCCCCGCCATGTTTTTCAATGTGTACACAAAAAGGAAAGTGACAATAGAGGCAGTGGGTCTTGAGAAAATTTTGATTTTGTCTGATGATATTTAGTCGGGGGGGGGGGGGGGGGCGGAAATAGAATAGAAATATATAGAGAACTGGAAACAATGGTTGTTGAGGCAGATGTGTGGTGTGAGGAAACTGGTAGGTGAGTGGTGTGAGGAAACAGTGGTAGTTGAGGTAGGGGATTGGTGTGAGGAAGCAGTGTGGTAGTTGAGGCAGGTGTGTGGTGTGAGGAAACTGGTAGGTGAGTGGTGTGAGGAAACAGTGGTAGTTGAGGCAGGTGTGTGGTGTGAGGAAACTGGTAGGTGAGTGGTGTGAGAAAATAGTGGTATTTGAGGTAGGGGATTGGTGTGAGGAAGCAGTGGTAGTTGAGGTAGGTAAGTGGTGTGAGGAAACTGGTAGGTGAGTGGTGTGAGGAAACAGTGGTAGTTGAGGTAGGTGAGTGGTGTGAGGAAACAGTGGTAGTTGAGGTAGGTGAGTGGTGTGAGGAAACAGTGGTAGTTGAGGTAGGTGAGTGATGTGAGGAAGCAGTGGTAGTTGAGGCAGGTGTGTGGTGTGTGGAAACAGGTTCTGTCCTCAACCCAGATATTGCAGCAGTATTGTGATGTTCTCTAAATAATAGTATAGATAGGGACAAGATTCTGAAACTCATGATAAATAACAACATAGGGAGAGGGAATTCTCTAACATATCTTGAAATAACTGTTGACAGAAGCCTGACTATCAAATAACCATATGGCAGAAGTGGTGTTAAAGATTAGGGAAGGACTTGATGCTTCAGCGGATATATAGCAGAGAATACTGTACGCACTTTACCAGTGGCTGATTATTTCAGTGAGGTAGTATGGTTTGGGACTGCTCACATTGTCCCACAGCCAGATAGAGAAACTGGAGTGTTTGCAAAATTATGCCCTTGCGCCAATCATGTCCATTCAGCACATACTTGTATTGCCATCAATTTGTTGTTGTTAGTTTGGTGGGAAAATACAAAAAAAAATATTTGAGCATGTTCAACTGTACCGAGAACAGCTTTAGTTATAATTATGGTCTCTTTTTATTTCAATGGCCTAAATGGTTTGTTGTGTCAAGAGTTACGACTTATTGTCTCTAGCTGTCTGAGGTTGTCGCTCTGAACATGCCTGGGTCCTCCATTGTGATCCAGATGAGTTCATCCATTTGTAAAACTCATATGATGTATGTCAAAGTTGCCATGAACCATGAATGGACTCCATAGCTCCGGTTGTGATCCTCAGTCACAGGTTGTTTATCAGAGTTACCATGAATGGACTCCATAGCTACAGTAGTAATTCTCAGTCACAGGTCATATATTAAAGTTACCATGAACCGTAAACAGGCTCCATCCATAGCTACGGTTGTGATCCTCAGTCACAGGTTGTGTATCAGAGTTACCATGAACCATGAACGGACTCCATAGCTACAATAGTTATCCTCAGGGCTCTCTTAAAACTTTACTTGTGAACAGAATGGCACCGTCTTAATTGTGTGTTCATGTAACTCTGTAGCAGTGCATCTGACATGATACTATGATCAGGCAGTAAATTGTGCAGTGTATTGTTCACATCCTTCCTCCCTGTGTGGGTTTCAGGGCTTCATTTTATACGTATGTGTGTGGGGGGGGGGGGGGCAATATTATGCTCACTGCCCCTCTGATAAGCAATTTTGTAAAATTTGACTAATTAGAAGTCAGAATGCATCTGCATGAGAGGCAGGGAACAAACATTCTGCATACAGATATGCCAGGCTTGTAAAGTAGATGGGCACACAAAACTCAAGTTCTGGAAAAAGACAGTATCCAGAAGTGGATGAACATCCAGAACTTTCCACCAGAATTTACACCTGGTGAACGCACAGAAGAAAAAGTTTCTCTCCCCATTATTTGGTTAGTAACAAGAACAAGAATTTGAGAGACAGGTCATAATGTTAGTAATGGAGACTTTGTTTGCACTGCAGGTATCCGAGGTTGTCCAGCATCAGGCATTGCTCAGACTATTCTGTCAACCTTCCTGGCGTACATTCTGTTCAACTTCAGCATTGAACCAGAAGTGGCTGGCCAGCTGCCCTCCATGGAGCGTAAGAAAGGCCTCATTCCCATGCCGCCAGACTTCAAATCAAAATTCCTTATCAGAAGATAAAGCTGTGACCTTTAGATCTCTTCCACAAATGTACAATTGTATGTCTTTTCTTTTGCAAGATTAGAATGGAATGGAGGATGAGACTGAAAGATCTGTGTAAAGTACAATGGTGGCCAAAAGTTTCAGACCATCTAGTAAAGACTGGCCATGTCTGCGGGAGTTAGTAGAGGTTGAAGAATGGACAGGGCAGACAGAATGTGCTGCGCTCCAGAGATGTTGAAAAAAAAAGGAGTCAGAGACAATGAACCGCCGGTTGGAAATGGGGGTTAAGCAAACAAAATCTGGCTGTGGGGTAAAGAAAGAAGAGAGACCAGTCAGCTCCTACAGGGTATGTTGAGCACGGAGACACTGAGCTGGCTGCTGTATGGGAGGACGGAGCACAAATGGGTGCTAGGATGTCAGTACAAGTAACAAGTAAAGAATTGATTTTTCAATACTCTTACAGAGTATTCAATCTAAGGTGACCACACAACGATGAGACTACTGACCGTGAAAGGCTAACCCGGTCAACAAATAAATGCACAAGTCGGATGTGTTGGCCGAAAGCCGCAAATAACGCAGCAATGTTGTAAACATGCACAAACATTTACATCTTCAGATAAACACGGAAGAAGAAGAAGAGTATTCCATCTACTGCTTCTTTATGGCCTACTACTAAAGGCAATCATTGCAGTCATAATTCTGCCCTAAAATAATTATAATAATGTGGAAATATCAGTTATTTACTAGTTGGCCTGAGACTTGTGGCAGCCACTGGATTATAATGGCACGGCCAGTCGATTCTGATAATTGTCTTTTTCAATGTTTTGGTTCTTCATGTTGCGTGTTGGTTCAGTTTGTTGCCACGTGCAAGCTGGTTGTAGAGCAATGTTTGATGTTGTGTTGCAAAACAGTTATAAATGTGGATTGCGCATATAATGAAAAATACTGTATTTTTTCTGTGTATAAGACGATATGTTCTACAATTTAAAAAAAATTTTTTTTTTTAAGTTTATAAATGGGGGTCGTCTTATACACAGAAAATGTTTTAAATATTTATTTCCTCATTTTGGACCGCAAAAGAAATAGGAGTCTTATATGTGAGGGTTTCTTACGCACGTGATGTGAAAGATGGAATCAAGTGCTTGGGAAGCTAACCCGGTCAACAAATACCTGCAGAGGTCGGATATTTCAGCTGAATGCCGCAAATTTTGCAGCCATGCTGTGAATGGGCACAGCGCATTTACATCTTTGAATAAATGTAGAAGAAGAAGAAGAAGAATCAAGTGTACCAAGTACTTTGCCACATCATTTGAGTAAGAATTATACCTCTAGTAGTTTTAATCGCCAAATGTGGGTGTGTTTCAAATACTGAGAGTTTCCATGCCACCCTTCCCCCATGTGGTATAATTAAGTACTGGTTTTTTAATTTAGTTTTCATCTGAAATATTTCTAACTCACATCAATCATGTCAGCTGTAACTGTTTCACCTATTTTTGTTGCTTACTTTGATTTGTTGTGTTTATTGTAGTTTTATAGCATTGTCTGAATTTACTAATTACTGGCATCTGGAAGGCTAATAGACTGAGATGGGGAGGTTGTATAGTGAGATGGGGAGGTTGTATAGTGAGATGGGAGGTTGTATACTGAGATGGGGAGGTTGTATAGTGAGATGGGGAGGTTGTATAGTGAGATGGGGAGGTTGTATAGTGAGATGGGAGGTTGTATAGTGAGATGGGGAGGTTGTATAGTGAGATGGGAGGTTGTATAGTGAGATGGGGAGGTTGTATAGTGAGATGGTGAGATGGGAGGTTATGAGATGGGAGGTTGTATAGTGAGATGGGAGGTTGTATAGTGAGATGGGAGGTTGTATAGTGAGATGGGGAGGTTGTATAGTGAGATGGGAGGTTGTATAGTGAGATGGGAGGTTGTATAGTGAGATGGGAGGTTGTATAGTGAGATGGGAGGTTGTATAGTGAGATGGGAGGTTGTATAGTGAGATGGGAGGTTGTATATTGAGATGGAGAGGTTGTATAGTGAGATGGGAGGTTGTATAGTGAGATGGGAGGTTGTATAGTGAGATGGAGAGGTTGTATAGTGAAATGGGGAGGTTGTATAGTGAGATGGGAGGTTGTATAGTGAGATGGGAAGTTGTATAGTGAGATGGGGAGGTTGTATAGTGAGATGGGAGGTTGTATAGTGAGATGGAGAGGTTGTATAGTGAGATGGAGAGGTTGTATAGATGGGAGGTTGTATAGTGGATGGGAGGTTGTATAGTGAGATGGGAGGTTGTATAGTGAGATGGGGAGGTTGTATAGTGAGATGGGAGGTTGTATAGTGAGATGGGAAGTTGTATAGTGAGATGGGGAGGTTGTATAGTGAGATGGGAGGTTGTATAGTGAGATGGAGAGGTTATATAGTGAGATGGGAGGTTGTATAGTGAGATGGGAGGTTGTATAGTGAGATGGGGAGGTTGTATAGTGAGATGGGAGGTTGTATAGTGAGATGGGAGGTTGTATAGTGAGATGGGAGGTTGTATAGTGAGATGGGAGGTTGTATAGTGAGATGGGAGGTTGTATAGTGAGATGGGGAGTGTATAGTGAGATGGGGAGGTTGTATAGTGAGATGGAGAGGTTGTATAGTGAGATGGGAAGTTGTATAGTGAGATGGAGAGGTTGTATAGTGAGATGGGAGGTTGTATATTGAGATGGGAAGTTGTATAGTGAGATGGGAGGTTGTATAGTGAGATGGGGAGGTTGTATAGTGAGATGGGAGGTTGTATAGTGAGATGGGAGGTTGTATAGTGAGATGGGAGGTTGTATAGTGAGATGGGGAGGTTGTATAGTGAGATGGGAGGTTGTATAGTGAGATGGGAGGTTGTATAGTGAGATGGGAGGTTGTATAGTGAGATGGGAAGTTGTATAGTGAGATGGAGAGGTTGTATAGTGAGATGGAGAGGTTGTATAGTGATATGGGAGGTTGTATAGTGAGATGGGAGGTTGTATAGTGAGATGGGAAGTTGTATAGTGAGATGGGAAGTTGTATAGTGAGATAGGAGGTTGTATAGCGAGATGGGAGGTAACAGACTGACGCACACTCCATGCACACAAAAATTGAGGTTTTGAACTACGAATCAACATCATGGCACATGGGTGTAACCCAGAAGTGCTCCTTTCTTCTTTTAACTCAAGTCTGAGTCCGAAGAAGCTCAGCACAGTGCACAGGCTCTGTAGCACCGCCGAGGATCCCGAAATACTTTGGATAGATTTTTAATTCAAAATTTTGCCTGGGCAGCGCGGTTAGGCAACAATTTTCTATTTCCAGCTGCCAAGAGATTTTTTTTTCACTACCCAGAGGCCAGTGGAAATTACTACAAGTCCAAGTCCACGTAAAAAAAAATTCCTAAAAGTTGAATGGGAGTAGACCACAAGGTAAATCAAGAAGACAATGGAGAAATAGTGTACATGCAGATCTACAAACACTGAGTCACCAACTGGAAAGAGAAGGCCAGTCAGAATGAGGAATGGAACCAGATGATATCTGCAGCAATGAGTCTTAAGGGTAAGAATGCTGAAGAAAAAAAGAAACATTATTTTAATTAAATTTTTCATTGTAGATTGCCAGTCAAAGTTTCATAGGACCAAGTTTTTCTGCTTTTTTTTTGTTTGTTTTGTCTTGTGGTTTACACATTGTCTTGTGGTTTACAGCTAGGCTGCAGTATATGCACCTTTCAGTCTAACACATCAAATTTTAGTAAAACCTGAATTAATTGTCTTTTACATAATGCTTGTAACAGGGTTGCAGATCTGTTCTTTTACTGCTAGTCCCACAACGGGGTGCATGGAATCCATATGAGGGAATAGGGCCAGGTTAATAAATGCTCATTTGATGGTGAAGTCTTGTGTGTGTGTATGTTAACCTTGTGTTGTTAATTCTATCAGCATTATTCATGTTATTTGTCTTGCTAGCTGTTGATATTTGATGATATTTGTGCTTATGAATGTTAGTGTTTCAGTTTCTTTAACTACATTACTGTTGACTAATGTAGAGAGAATAACATGTTTTTTTCATTTGAAAATCGCTCCTAATGTTTATTGCGTTTGGTTGGTTGGTTGGTTCATTGTTTGATTGGTTGACAGGGTCATTGGTTGATTGAATGTTTGGTTGGTTGAGTGGGTAATTAGTTCATCACTTGATTAGATGTTTGGTTGGTTGAGTTATCGTTTAGTTTTCACTGCACGGATGCATCTGTTGCAATCCAAACAGGACTTGTAGATCGGACTTCATCTACAATCGTAGAGCGCCCTTGAAAAAAATGTATTAACTGGCCATGCACCGTTTTCACAGGATAAACATTAGTCAGCATAAACAGGAAGCATTTCCTTACAAATGTCCTTTGCAGGCAATCCTATTGCGCCCCCCCCCCCCCCCAAAAAAAAAAACCCGCACAATGGCAGGTTGTTCTTTGAGGGTAACTCTGTTAGTCCAGTTGCAATTTTGTTTTATGTTTTGCGATTGCACATGTAGCACCTAGCATTACCTAGCGAACGGAAACATACAGTTTGATGTTGCTGTCACTTAATGACACCTTTAAATAAGTAAGTAAGTAAAGATCCTTTTTTACGCCTTAGGCATGTAAGAGCATGCCATATTTTTACAGACCAATCAGCATTAGGTGGGTAATGTGGTCAGCATTAAGCCGGCCGTCTTTACTTCCCCAGGACAGCCATCCTGGCACCCATTTTAGGCTGTGTCGACCTGTGACACCCCGTACCATGATAAAAACCCAGCAGTGGGTTTTGATCGCGTTACGTTGGAATTACGAGTTGAACTCGCAAACTAACACCTATAGAAACCACCAACTATATTTTCCTGCCATCCCATAACTATTTGTGACTTACCTATTGACTTCCCCTCTCATAAACATACGTGACATAAAATGCAACAATATGGACATGTATAAAGATCTAATTGCCTCTTAAAAACAATACTACAGGGTCAGTAGATGAGAAGAGGCAGAA